TGAGGACGGGTCATCTGTAATTGACACTATGCAGCTTGTATGGCCTGTTTCTCATCGAATTTCTTTTGGAATTAGTAACTTTTTGGTAGCAATAGATAGCGCTCATTCTGCTGATTTTGAATATGTGGTTTGTGTAGCCATTTAATGCAACGAAGCAGGTAAAATGAACAAATAACTCTCAAGATGTCGCTAAAAGTAGTTTAACACAGTACTGTTTTGTACCCATTTTTCTCTGCGAAGGAGTGAACATCACAATAGACATTTACGCACCATTCGATAGCCCTTTTCAAGGGCTACATCCTAGACTATTTCTTTTTGAAAAAGGAGCACCTTCGATTTTTCACCTAATGTCCGCCTGGATGCCCACTTTGAGAGGGTTGAATTTCAAAAATCTTCAAAGTCCCTAGAATTCCGTGAAAGTTTCTTAAAATTCCAAAATACTGAAAGTCCAAGGACACACCGACTTTTCCGCGAATGAGTTTTTTTCCGAAATCACTCTCACACTGCACCCTGGCACAAAAAGTCTGCAAGCACAGTCTATGTTTCTGACAAGGAGAAAAAAAGACAGCAGACTTCATGTTTGTTTACGCGCAGAAAAAAGCAGTTGAGTATGACCATCTTCATCTAACGGCTATAAAAAGTAATTTTTGCTGCTCGTCTGTCCAAATACCGCTCTTCCGCTTAAACTTAGAAGACTTTCAACCATAAGCAGACTAGTTCTAACACACCGTTGTTATAACAGTCCTTCTAGCTTTGTTGTAATAGTTAATGGACGCAAGATGAAAGCATCTTTCTAAGCTGCACTGTGAACCATCATTTTTTACTTTAGCAGTTAATGAAATGCAATTTTGTTGTAAAGAAAACCAGAGGACTGATAGAAGAAGCTCTGCTTTACAGCGCTGCCTTATACTCCTTGGAAATGTTTAAGTTCACCCACGGTACATACACCTTATTTTCCCTAATGAGATTGAATCAGTCGTTTCATCCACAAAAATTTTTGCTAAAATGGCTGAATCAGCCATTTGAACCGTCTTATTCAGAGATTCAGTCACTTCACTTTTCTGACAGTGTCATAGAAATACTAGTACCATGATAAAAAGCACTCAGCCCACACATTTTTTCTAATCTGTACTGGCTAAATCTATCACGGTGACGCATTTACCTAGCACTAAATACACTTAAGTCAATTTTTTTAACTTAAGTGCTAAGGCCTCGTCCAGACTACACTCTTCCCTCACTTAAGTCATGTCGAGCACACGACTTAAGTTGGAATTAACTTTTCCATCCAATACGGTTACGACTTTCTCACTTAACTTTTGTAGTTTGGACACTTAAGTTACGCTTTATAAAACGCAGTTAAGGCAAAACTTAAGTTTTACTTAAGTGTGTCTTAACGCCAACTTACTTTTTCACTTAAGTCAACGACTTAAGTCGAACTTAAGTTTTTTTATAAAAGTGGCTCCTGGCTCCGTGTATCCGCAAAACATGGAAATGGAAAATATGGAATGATAGTTCATAGGCTGACCAATCAGCACATGAGCAATATATTAATGCACAAGAGACAGAAATGCTATGCATAGAAAAAAACAAAAGTAAAATTTCGGACAAACAAAAAAGATGATAGTAACAAACACTTTTTTTGTAAGCCACAAGATAGATGTCGCACGAAACTGGTTATATGTAATGAATTAAGCAATGAAGTTTACGTGGAGCTAAATGTAAGAGATAATCCACAGTAACGCTGTTGTAACAGGAGCTATTTTCAGCTTCATTTTAGTATCATTTATTAATTAAAATTATTTTAACATTTCGAACAACACAGCGTTCATTTTCAGAAACTCAAACTGAAAAACGAATGCTTACGAACAATAGAATTGTAAAATATAGATATGTTAGCATAAAATATTTTCTACAAAATGGGAACTAAGCGACTTCTTAATCTTGCGTGATTCAGGAGTGCTATCGGATTTTCTCGAAGCCCCAGGTGTCCTACATCAAGTTACATCAGATGGTATCAAACCAATACAATATTTATCCAGATCATTATCAACAAGAGAGCAAAAATATTCAACAGTGGAAATAGAATGTTTCGCAGTTGTATGGTGCATTACCAACTACGCCCATATCTATATGCTCAACATTTCACCCTGTACACCGATCATCATCCATTATGCTGGCTAAATACACTATCATCCAAGAATGGGCGATTAGACCGCTGGTCATTACAATTACAAGAATATACATTCGATATTAAACATGCAGCTGGCAAATCTAATTGTGTGGCTGATTGTTTATCCCGATATCCAAATCAAAAGTTTAATGCGTTGTTGAACAACAATTAAACAGCATGCATCCTTAAATGAATAACATTCAACAAATAATTACCGTCGTCCCATCAAAATTTGATTCAACAAAAATTCAACAACATCAACTAATGGATAGATAATAAGATTAAATTCATTCATGATCAATTAAACACTGGCAAACACGTGAAATCATTTGTATTGGAAAATGGTGTTCTGCATAAATTATTACCTCGTCACGGGCAAGGGACCCTCAAATTACCCTACATTCCAGTATCAATGACACAAGATTTATTAGAAGCATGTCACGATCATGTAACTAGTGGACATTTAGGTGTGACTAGAATATGGCATAAAATACGTAACAGATATTATTGGCCCGGCATGTATAACACCATCAAACAATATGTCACCTCATGCTCAAAATGTCAACAATTTAAAGTTTCACGGGTAAAACCAACTGGCACATTACAGCCAATTGAAGTAACAACTGGTGTATTAGATTTAATGGGATTAGATTTTATTGGCCCTGTTCCACAATCAACATCTGGTAACAAATATATATGAGTCTGCACTAATTATTTATCTAGATGGGCAATTACTCAAGCAACAGCAAATTGTACAGCTGAAACAGCAGCCAAATTCCTCGTGGAAAAAGTGATATTACAATATGGCGTGCCGAAACAACTAATTACCGATCAAGGCACCCATTTCATGGCCAATGTCTTTGAAACCATCTCCTCAAGGTGTGGAATCAGTCATATCAAAACAACAACATATCATCCACAAACAAATGGCTTAACAGAACGATTTAATGCAACACTAGCCGGCTCCATTGGTACCTATGTCAATCAACAACAAACTGACTGGGATGAGTATTTACCATTTGTGACATTTGCATACAACACCTCCAAGCAAGCAACTACTTAGTTGGAACCTTTCAAATTAATGTTTGGTCGTGATCCAATCCTACCATTTGACATACCTACTTCAATTGTTCAATTATCATCCCCCAATGACTACTATACACAATTGATTAGATTTCTACAAGAGGCAAAATCCACAGCTTGGTACAACACAAAACAACAACAAAATATTTACAAACGAACTTATGATACGGGTCGCACAGATCTACCAAAGTTAATACCCGGCCGGTTGGTCTTCATTAAACAAATGATGTCTAAAAATTTACGCAAGTTTTCACCAAAATACTATGGACCCTTTAAAGTAATTCAAGAAATTGGCAGATTAACTTATGTAGCGCAACATATTCATGATGGGCATACTGAGCAAGTACACGTCTCACTAATTCGCATAATTATTTAATTCATCTTTACTTTGTCAACGAACCGAGTCAATCACGCAACTACAGTGCCATCCTGACAGAACCACATGGGTAGAAGGTGGCAGCTTCTTCCCGATTCTGTCACATACACCATACCACTATACACGATTATCCAACTCAACATTACTATGATCCAGGCTTCCTGTCCACGGCAACAACATTCGCAAGGTTTTTTTTTTCACAGACGTCATTTTCTCATTATTATTTTTCATTTTTTACAGATTATACAGATGAGCGAGACTTTTCATCTAGTATCGGGGGAGATGTTAAGTAGTCCTTGTTCTCTTCGTTTCGTTCTTCTTTTTACATCATATGTTATAAGGTCATATGTTTATAGTGACCTTTCTCTTTCTCTTTCTCTCTGTTCTCCTGGCGTCATTAGTCCGGCGAGTAGTATATGACATTCTTTCCAGTTCTTCTTGTACGCTATGACCTAATGATGTTATGTTCTGACCGGTTCTCCTGACGTCATTAGATCCTTTTCTGATCCTTTCTCGGATGTTCGGAGATATGTATATGTTACGGGCAAAACTGGAATTCGGTCAGATCTGAGATTTGCCGGTCAAAACTGGAATTTTAGTTTTGACTAGAGAAATATTGGTCAAAACTGGAATCTTGGCAAATCTGAGATATTACAAGAGTGAAATGCAATTGTTATTTAAAATTGATAATCATGCTTTTTATATAATATCATATTGATATATC